TAATGGTGACCTTCAGGACGACGCCAGTGGCTATCAATACAATAGATATAATCTCAGCACGTATCAGAACCCATTCTTACCTCACAATGTGGACCAGTTCTCCATATTTTTCCAACTTCGTCTGGTAAGTTTTCATGCTGTTATTAGGGTTTATAATAGCGAAGTCTATAAACCAGATCTTCTTTATTACCTTATTCCAGATGGTGATATTCGGTCTATTATGATAGACAGTTTTATCCGTCACAATGCTGCGGTATCAATATAATTTGTAGGTCTCATTTTCTAGGAACGTTTATGGTAGGTACTGATAGTGTGGTGTATTATCCCACGGGAGGCCATACATCTTGTAAAGTTTGGCGTGGATAATTCGCCCCACGTTGTCACGCCTTAGTTTATTACTATTTTTTGTTTCGCTACTCGGGCATCATGGATCCACGCGATACGTGCATCGCACCGGGGCTCAGTCTTGAATATCGGGGCAGGTGCACGTTATCTTTCTTAATAAGCATATTAATGCTAATTCCGTTTTTATACCCCAGGGTTGTTAGCCCTGGGGAATGGGATGAAATTATGATGATGATAATTATGAATGATTACATATACACACACAAACATACACAGACACATACAACTCAACCATTCCCGACGCGGGACTCGAAACCGCGATCATCTGGTCCTAGATCGCTACGGCACTAAGGCCTTAGCGATTTCGGCCATTGGATCGGCATTATAATTATTAGCTATTATTATTATTATTATTATTATTATTATTATTATTAATATTTGATATCTGACACAGAGGCAACATCATTGTCTCTGCACTATCGTTGACAGGAGGATCGAGAGTTCAAGTTCTGAAAGTGGAGAAGTTTCGACGGTAGCTACAGAGGTCGAATTCAGCCTCTAGCTCCAGACAGCGCTGTCTGGAGAACTAGTAGCAGAATGTTCTGATTGGTAGATTCTGTGTTTTCCCGATCAATTCCAGGTCAATGCCGAATCAGTAACTAAACAAACGGGCCATGGACCACACGCGATCTATTTCCTCTTCTCCCCTTTACATCTACACACACACACACTTACACGCACTACACTCCCATACATGTCGAAAGACCAGATGAGGGTAGCTACTTGGCTGTTCGGAAGATACTGCATCCTAGTGAGAAGTGACAAAGTTTCGGCCGCCATTTTGCGACCTTCGTCTGGGCGCTGACCATCTCCGCACATTTCGCCCTGAGGAAGGTCTCAGAATGACGGCCGTAATGTTGGCACCAGGGCCTAGGACGCGGCTAGACAGCCAAGAAGCTGCAGACTCCGGCCACAGAAGCCTACGCTCTGACCAGTCGGGAGTTTAAAACGTGTCCCGGCTGTGGCGGTGTTCCGCTGTGGGGACATATCAGTACTTGGAGGGGTCACGCACTAGCTGACCTGGAGATCAGCGCTGGATCTCGCGTTCCAGCGCAGAGGGAACATCGCCACCCCTCGGAATACAACATGCGATGCACTTACGGGACTAGTGAACTCACTTCACCAAAATTAATACTCGCTCTCTGAAGTTGTTGGGAGTACGTTGGAAAATGCAATGTTAAAGTAAAGGTAACGGACTGAAATTCAGGGATCACATCCTTATATTCGTTGTATATGATTATAACTATTTTAAATTGAAGATCTACAATTCTTCAACTGCTAATGGAGAGAAAACAATACCAAGTCAATGATATGCAGGTGGCTCCTCTGCTACAACAAAATATACTACACAAATATTTGCCTGGGCTGGGTTCCTATTTCTAGGTAATTAGTCCCTAATGCATTTTTTTTATCTCGGGTGGTGGCGATATTCCTCCTTTGCTGAATGGTGAGATCCGGTGCCGAACTTCACGTCGGTTTGCGGAGGATTCCTCTCTCCAGGTATCACCCTTAGCTCCAAGCCTTAAACTGGCGAGTTTAGCTCAGAGACAACATTACCGCTTTCTCTGCAGCAACTCTGACCGGGAGGTCCTATGGTTCGAAATCCCACGGTGGCGGATTTTCGATGCTATAGCTGGGTCGAATTCAACCGTTGACTGGAGGAGCATTCTAACGGCTGGTTGCTCTGATCGTTAGTTTTCCGTTGTTTCACCTATCAATACTTGGCGAATGCCGAAGCATTACCCTGCCAAACGGGCCACGGACCTCGCGCGATCTTTCCTTTCTCCTCCTTATCCTATCCTCTCCTTTTACACGAACTTTTACGCTTACATGCACTAAACTACTAGCATGTCTAGAGATTAGTCGGGAGCTTAGAATGTGTCCCGGCTAGGGTGGTGCCACTTAGTGAGATACCTGGAGGAGTACGTGCAAGACGGCGTCGGATCTCACGATCCAGTTGGGGAGGAACGCCACCTCCTACAGGCACAAAACATTCACCACACTAACGGGACTAATGACAATAGCAGTTGACGGGCTCGGAAATATGATGATGAATCAACCTAACTCTAATATCCCGACTTGTTTCTCGACATAAGAGGTGCTGTAAGGCACGTGCGTATGAGAGTAGGAGAGAATAGCGCAAGGAAGGGGAAGGAAAGATCGCGCGCGATCCATGACCTGTCTGTTAAAATACTACTTCGGCATTCACCTGGTATTGATTGGTATCGAAACCACAGAAAACACTGTAGAGACGTACGTATGACTGGTTCTGATCTAATTCTGCGGTTTACTAGTTTTTTAGTTTAAGAGTTGTTACTCTTATTGCTAGGGATTTTTGAGTAATATGGTGCGCGTTTCAAAAGCTGTAATGATTTCTTAATGCTGCGTTGATTATAACACGCCGTAAAGATATCATTACGATGATCTGATGTAACTCAAAATTACTCGGTAACAATTGATATTAAAAAATATATGTGAAATAACTTGAAGATAAAATATTGATGAATGTATTGCCTTAGATTGCGAAAGAAAAATCTAGCTATTGAAAGTGCAGGAAGGACAGATCCGACAAAAATTAAACTTTTACAATTTTCGAAAATCCAGATATTTTAATTAAAATCGGACTATTGCCGTAAGAGGCTTCTACAAAACGAGCTTAATTCTTTTAAGCCCAATAAATGTAAAGAGAAAATTTCGAGTAGTTTTTGAGACAATTTTGAAAATTTCCTAGAGGTTTTCTAAAAAAAATTAAAGATCACTTTCAAATTCAAGCAGTTGGGACATCAGCCAGGTTGGGCAATATTAATTGTGGAGAAAATCCTCTGCACCGACTTGGCGCTAACCGGTAGACAGTCGACTTAAAGGACGGACGGAAATTGGACTTCGTTGTTCGTGAAATAAAACACTTTTTATGGCATCAAAGGCACCGAAAATGTCGATTCTGACTACTCTAAGAATTCGATAAAGCTTTTTATTACTTAAAGAAGGGAGAGAAATACATATTTTCGATGTAAGGGATCCAGAAAAAAGGTTTTTCTTTCGGCACTTTTTTTGTCGCATTACATAACTTTCTTAATACGTAGTAAATGGGAGAGACTAATCTAGCGGTGCTACAGAATGGCACAGTTGTCTATTTCATTTGGTAAATTTTTGAAATTTTCTAAATTTTTCGGTTTCATAATAGTAAAACGGAAATACTATTTTAAGAATATTAGAAAAACAGTAAATCCTTGCCCTAAATGGCAATTTTCTTTGAAATATTTGGAGTTGTTTTTCCAAAAATGGCGTTTAAGCGTTACAGTTATAAGAAAAAAATTAGTTTTTGTATTTTTTTAATTGCATGTATTGATTGCAACATTTTGCGAATACCACTACTAAAATTTTCCAAAAAAATGTGCATGACCTTAAAGAAAGAACTCACTATGGAGAATAAATTTTATTTGAAGAAAAAATGTCTATCTTCGATTTTATAGTTGTAGGAAGTCGCCGCAAAAGATTTAAACTTTTGCAAAATTTGCAAACTTTCAAAAATTCAGAGATAACCATGAAAATCGGGCATATGCCTCCTTTATAAATGTATTTTACTACATTCTTACAAGAAATTTAAAGAAAACATTTGGAGCCGTTTTTGCTAAATTTTTGAAAATGTCCGGAGGGGTTTCATGTAAAGTAGCCCCAAATTTTAAAGAAAGTTTTTCAAAATCGCGGCGCCTCGAGTGGAGTCAGATCGACCCGCCGATATTTCTGCCGAGAATCCACCGTTTTTTTGTTTCCCCCCCCCCCCACAATTATTCGGCATTTACGGATGTATACGCGAAAGTAAAATTACATTAACAAGCTTTTCTTAAAAACGGCCCCAATTTTCTTTCTTTGTATTTCTTACTTTGCATTTGTGCTTAAATAGAACACTATTCGCTTAATAATATGGCCAAATCCGGATATTCATTAAAATAAATTGTTATTTTAATATTGAAAAGTCCGAGAGGTTTCTTGTAGAGTATCCAAGAGTAAATTATCCGTTTCAAATTCATGGCACCCCGACATCAGACACATCGATTGAGGAATATAAATTTTGGTGAATATCCTAACAAGGGTTTATGCGTCAGAGTTGCTCCCAGGCGGATGAATAGAAAAAGAGAGAGGGAGAGAGAAAGGGGTATATATATATATATATATATATATATATATATATATATATATATATATAATTGCATTACAGTATGCAGCTAATTAATTCCAGCGGCTGAATAAGCGTTAACCGACGTCTAATTAACAATACAACCACTGTGCCTAATCTCCTCTAGCGATAATCAAGTACGAGTTCATTCAGTGTCAGCTCTAGTTTGAAATCATAATCCATAAATATGATCTGCGACTTACGTCACTTAGCATCAAACTGTGAATAGAGGGCGGTTTACCACTTTTTTAGTCAGCAAGAATATCGGTGCTGGCTGAATCTTCTATAAACGTTGTGTATCCCAGTTCGCTAGAAAACCCCTAGTGCTGGAAGTGGCAGCCAGCTACAAATTAATTGACCTTTCAAAACGCAGATCGCGCTGACGTTCGTTTTCTGCGCATGCGCGAGAAGTTGCACCGACTGGAGATGATGGCAACTGTTCATTTAGTGGTGATGGGTGGTGTTTGCACACTTATTATAGCGCGTTTCTGCTTAGTAGATTAAATAGTGTAAGTTTTGTTGTGTGAAATAGTGCCAATATCTTCGTTTCTGATCTCATAGTGATTGAATCTGCGAAAACTTCGCTCCTACGAACGTTTACGACAGAAGGGAGATGCAGGTGATTTTTGATGTGTAAGCTGTGCCTGCGGATCATCGTGTGCAATGGGCGGGCGTTTTCCACCGTTATTTTATGTTTCGGATAGACATCCACACGAGGGATTCAGTAACATTTTGCTGGATGAATTTCAATAGATTCCATCAATTCTGGATCCGACAAGTTTTACGTGAACCTTGACAGACTAATGACATGTGACCCCAATCTGACATTTAGTAACTTTTCAGTACTTAATCTGTTTCACACATTGTAAGTGTTCATTCATTCTTGTGCACGGTGTTTTAAATAATTTGTCAGCTGTTGTTTTTTGTTTCCCATTCGAAATGTTTCGAAAAATACTATGGCCTTGTGTTTACAAAGAAACATCTTGTTAATGAGTGCTGCTAACCTGAAAATGCACCAGAAATGCATGTTTGAACGTGTGGCTATATTATAGTATCATCATGTGCAATATAAGAAGAACATTTGTGTGTTGTCAACTGTCACCGTATTGTCTACAGTCAAAATATGGATATAAACATGGTTTTATTTACCCTGAACAAATCTTCAATCACGTAGCAACATGTTATATTAAAGTTACAGAATAAAATGGAGTGACAGTCAACAAGAATACTCAGTTATACTCATTACTTGGAACTGCAAGTTCAATCTCTCACTCATGAAGCGTTCCAGAGATTTCATGTAAAAATTGTTTTTATTTACAATGATGTCTGACATAGTGGAAAACAACAGATATATTGTCCAAGTGTTTGTGGGGCAGTTGTCACAGCACTATGAGGCATTATCAGTTGAGGCAAGCAAACAAACAACATCAGAAGAAATTGTTTCGTGCATTGTGGAAAGATTATCTTTAGCAGATAGCCCCTCTGGAAATTATGAATTGGCAGAGGTTATTGGAGATTCAACTGGTCAGGAATGCAAGGAGAGAAGACTGGGACCTAATGAAAGTCCTGTTGCTCTCATGCTGTTATGGCCAAAAGTGTGGCCAGATATTAATAAGGAGCAGGAATTATATAGGTATTGTATATGAATTGCATTTTATTCTTTTTATGCATGTTTGATTAGTCAGCATGTCTATTTCTGGATGAATTACGGCTAAATGTCATAAAGAAGTCAATATTTCTGCAGTTGCTCATAAGTTTACAGTATGCAATGAAAAAAAAAACTGTAGTACTGTGTGGGAAATTATGAGGATGAATATATGATTTCATTCATTTTGTACCTAATCATATGAACAATTGATCTAGGATGACAGAAGTAGGAGAAGCAATAATTTTGTCTTGTCATAATTCATTCAAGAATTGGGCTCAAATTTTAATGTGGAATTGTTGAACATTACTTTGAGATGGATTATAATAGGATTGAAGTGTTTGTTTCCTAATGTGCTCAATGTAACTAACATTTTTGTGCTTTCTTTCAGATTTTATCTTAGAGAAAAACAAAATGAATCAGTTTGGACAGATAGTTTAATGGACCCACAACTTATAAAGGACTATTTTTACCGGTTTCTGTATCAGCCAAAAGATCGAGAATATCCAGATTTATGCCAACTTCCAGATCTTAATGAACAAACATTATTGGATAATCTGAGGGCACGATTTATGGGTGGTCACATTTACACATATGTGGGATCTATTTTAATTGCACTTAATCCATTCAAGGTAAGTAATTTCAAATTGGTAGAATAAACAAATTTGTATGTTTTATTCTTAGAGGAACATTTGCGTATAACAAATGAAGATAATTTTTATTAGGTCTTATTGTTTAGGGTAGGTCTTAGGTTAGTGGATTGTGATTGAAATTGGTTAAAGGTTGATGTTTGTTCGAGAGAATTACTTGTAGAACAATAACACCAGACTGAGCTCTTAAGATTTGTGGTTTTCGCAGCAGAGTCTTGATGTTGTCTTCTTATTTTATTGAATAGTTGTTACTAGTTTATAAAATATTAATGTGCAGTTATAATTTTGTTTTAGTTCCATCCGATATATAATCCCAAGTATGTAAAGCTGTACCAGAACCGGAGATTGGGTCCAGAGTTGCCACCTCATATTTTTGCGGTGGCGGATGCTGCGTACCATTGCATGTTGAAAGAAAGGCGAAATCAGTGTGTTGTTATTTCCGGTGAAAGTGGTAGTGGGAAAACTGAGAGCACGAACTTTCTGCTCCATCATTTGACTGCTCTGAGTCAAAAAGGCAGTCATGGGAGTGGAGTGGAACAGACGATTTTGTCTGCTGGCCCTGTGCTTGAGGTAAAGTAGAATTTTGTATGTAGAACCTTTTTTTGTGGTAATGCTTATACTAAAACGAGGCCTTAAAAAATCAGTTCATATATGTCATCAGTAGCATACTGAAATGAGTGCAGGCCCACTCACAAACCTTTTATCCGAGCTCCCTGTGTGAAAGTGTACCGAAAACACAAATAGTGTTAGTACCTCAAATAATAAAAATATCCCCTAAAAATAGGCTCTATTTTAATTGGGCCCGCTGGCCTTGCAGGCCCAAACGTTACGCCACTGCATCTCATTACTCATTTCAAATGAGAAATAGTTATTATGACCATGGGAAAAAATGTGAATGCCACTAAATGGGTGCACACCCATTGGACCAGGGACCTGTCTGTAAAGCATAAACATACATTGTATTCTCATTTTAATATACAGAAAATGTCATGCTGTTAATATTAGATGTTGATTTCCATATTTTGCTGTTTATTTAAGGTGTTAGCTTAAGCTTTTAACCTACTGTATTTGTACCACCATCGGGAGTGCAGTGCTTGAATATTTACATCAGCTTCTCACCAAAAGCTCGACACACCTGCCTTACCAAATGGCTGCCTTCAGTTTTGTTCTTGTATCAAAGCATTTTAACCACTTGGAAATAGAGGCCAGTATTGGGCAGTACCATGCTCAAAATGATGTCATGACTATAGTCTTCATTTTTCCCTGCTTTTGTGAAAACAGTATTGATGGTTCTTTTCAGATACTGGATTTATTTTATATTTGTTTTAATTATTTTTCTCTAGCTGTATAGTGGGAAGGTGGCCTGGTTGGGAGATGATTAAAACATCTCCCTTGCATCCATTTCCTTTGTCGCAAGATTAGCGAATCGGGAATAGTAATATTCTTTTGTTTTTATGTTTCATATTATTATTTTTTTATTTATGGGCAGGTGTACATTACAACAGTTGTTCCATTGGCCATGAGTATATGCAAGTAGGAGAGACAACAAAATGAATTAACTTACGGAAGAATTTTGTAGCTTCTTAGTAAATTGTCAATTCTGTTGTTGAGGTTCATTCTGAGGTCAATTCTGAGTTCAAACACGGTTTGTTTTGGGATTCAATTTTTTATTTTCTGTTCCATGTTTGTACGTAGATAACACAAACTATTATTATGTAGTCTTTCACACAACTTTTAGTTTTTGAAAATATGTATTTAAAAAAAACTGAATTTTTAAACTCTTCTGTTGTGTATTGTGTTTTATTATGTAAAATAATTTTTTAAAGTGTAAATTAATATGTAAACAGTCTGTCTTTACCACTCAAAAACTATTAGAAAATAATTTTACTATTTGAGATTCTCATTCTGATTATCATCTAAACAGATTTTATGTTTGAAATAATGTTACCAGATTTCTGAATTAAAACACTATTTATACGTAATATGTAAACAATTGAAGCGATTGGGAGAAGATAGTGCTAATTCTCGTTTCATCAATCCAAACCAAAAGTCTTAGTGCCTCCTAAAAACAAACATTATGATCAAAATGATGAACAAGAACTATATACTATAGTTCATAAAACTATAGTATGGTTGTAGAAAGCAGCCAGAATTGTATGGCACATATCTTATTGTAGTAAAACTAGATTTTTCCTCTGGCTCACAAAAGTATGGACATGTGGGTTAACACTATTCTTCTGACCCCTTCAGTTATTTCTACAAATCATAATTTGCAGTTGTTACAGCAATAATGTACACCATTATATCGCAGCTTTTCACAATTTTAAGTAGCTTATCATATTAACTACTTTCGTTGTTTGTTTTATGATACATTCGAATAGTGTTCATAACATATGCACAACAATGCATTAATTTTGGAATTTAAACATTCATTAAGGTGTGAAAATTCTAACCTTTAGTTGGAGGGGCATTGGAATGTTTCTGATGTATTGGTTATTTTTTCAAAATAGGGAGTTCATCTTTAACGCAACACACACATGTAATCTTGACTGGGATTTACATTATAATGGAATCTATCATGTTGTTGTTGTCAGAAAAAATTCAAAAGGATTTACAAAGATCTTATAAACGTATATAAAAAATATCTCTCCTCCCTCCTGTCTCTCATGTCTCTCAATCCTCTCTCTCCTCTCTCTCTCTCTCCTCTCACTCCTCTCTCTCTTCTCCTTTCTATCTCCTCTCTATCTCTCTCCTCTCTTCTCTCTATCTCTTCTCTCTCCTCTCTCTCCTTTATAGCAATATTTGTTTTGTCAGACATGTCACACACTTTTTTGGTAAAAGATGTCTATTTGTCAGACAATCCTGGTATCTGTGGACATCACCAAATCTAAAACTATGTTGCAGGATTTTTTAAAATCAGACCTTCTATTACCATTCTGTCTCAGCATGAGATCCTGTTTATATGGGTGGAATTTTTTTAATCGGTTTGGATTATAGCTCCTGTTTATTAAGGTGCAACTATTTATTACATTGTCAATATTGGCTCAGAAACTATTTATATTTTTTTATTTAAAGTTTTTATTTATTTAAGTTTGTGTGAGTAAGATGTAATGCCTAGTATTACGATTAAAATTCTGAATTGTTGAGTTTTCGAGAAACTGTATGGGCATTATTTAAAGCACAAGTACTCGTAAATATAGTAATGTGAACAAATTGCCACTAATATAAATATTAACAACATGAGAGACAACTAAAAAAAAAAAATTTTTTTTGTAATTGTGAAAAAACAAAAAAATTGTAGCAATGAGACATTTGTCATTTATACAATGCATTTATAATTATCCCTACCAGAGGTTTAATGAAAATTTTTTGGAGCCGTTTTTGAGAAAATCTTGTTTTGTAATATTTTAAAATTACCCATTGCTAGCAATATTGCGTGAAAACTACTAATATTTTTTTTAAAAAAATACACGACTTTAATGAAAGAACTAATTATAGACAACAGATTTTGTTTGAAGGAAAGATCTCTGTCTTTAATATTATAGTTGTAGGAAAACAACAAAAAATTTCAAATTTTAAAAATTTTCGAAAATTCAGAGTTACCAGTGAAAATCAGATCTATGGCACTTTCATAGGTGTATTTTACTCTATTCTTACAAGAAATTGAAAGAAAAAATTTGGAACAGTTTTTGAGAAAATTTCAAAAATGTCTGTGGGTCTTCATGTTCTGTTCCCCCAAATGTTTAAAGAATGTTTTTCAAAATCTCAAAGTTCCATTTAACTCAAGCCAGATGGACAGGGGTTTCTTCAATTTGGAAAAAGCTAATGTATGGTTTAGGCACTTGTGGTGTTCACAAGTGAACGGACAGACTGACGTTTTGAAAAAGAACTACACTTTTTCAATATCAGAGGATCCCAAAACACGTATTTCCATTGAAATCTTGAAATCGATTTTCCTCAACATTACATAACTTTCCCTATACTACTTACATTACTCCAAATATACATATATATACGGGAAAGTAAAAAGCTATATAAAATGTGTCATGTTCGGCAACATTTTCTGAAGTGCTTTTTTAAATGGTAATTTTCAATTGTACGATTTTAAGTATAAAATTCAAGTTTGATACGTATTTTGGAATTTTGAGTTGGGAAACAGGTTTGGAATTCAAACTTATGGTGTTTCTAGGAGCTCAGTAACTTTTGCTGAATCATCCATGTGATTTTGTAAAAATAAATGTATTTTTATGAACAGATGTAAATGTGCCTATAATGTAATGTAATACAACTAACTTGTAATTAAATTGCAATACCCTCTTTTTTCTTTTTTAGGCTTTTGGGAATGCCAAAACAGCTCATAACAACAACTCAAGTAGGTTTGGAAAATTCATTCAAGTGAATTACAAAGAGAATGGAATGGTCCATGGGTGAGTATTTTATTGTAAATCTGATATTTGTTATATATTTAAAAATGATTTTGTTCTAAATGAAAAAAATCTTTTTCCATTCAGGGCTGTTGTGCAGAAGTATTTGTTAGAGAAATCTCGAATTTGTACTCAAGGCAGGCATGAACGAAATTACCATGTATTTTACTACCTTCTAGCAGGGGCTTCAGAGACAGAGAAACAATTGCTTCATTTGGGCAACATAGAAGATTACAATTATCTTAACAAGGTAAAATAAGTAATTTCATTATTGTGTTGTTATATAATCCAAAATTAAATTACTCTACATTTAATAAAACTTGAAATCCAATAACAGATGTAACCAAGGAGTTGCAAATTGAGTTTCAAAATGTTTATTTCATAGGAGAAATATTGAATACCTGGTTGATTCTTTACTAAAGATAATATGATTTTATTGGGAGGGTAATGAGGTGATGGTGCATGTGGAATTAGAAACAATATGGTTTACAATTTGCAAAGCTGAATTGTTAATGACAAGAGGAAAGAGCTTTATGTTAAAATGTATGAACATATCATAATTAAAAAACATTTGTCATTATCAAAATGAGAATCAGAAATGGAAAAAAAGGAAGAAATATTAGGTGTCTACTTTCTGGATAACTGGGATATACAATGGATTATTCTGGAAAAGTTTGGAATAAAACCAGGGACATTTTAGTTGAATCTTTAAAAGCCAGACAGTTTTTAGAATAATAAAACAAGGAGTTATTCTTTAAAATAACTGATAAACCCTGATTTTTATCACAATTTGGTTTTTTGATGTAAATATTGTTAATTTTCGTTTTGTCATAGTGGAATCAGAAAGCTGACAATTTAGTAATGGGTAATAAATTTACGCTTTCATTCCATATTTTCTTGAAATCATGTGAAATACTAGAATTTCATAAGAAAAAAAACTACTGGTAGATTGGAAAAGTCAGGGAAATTTGTTTCAAGAAAATCTGGTCACCCTAAATTAGAATATCATCTAACCTTGCATTTCTGTGCGTCTTCTATCACTCTTGAGGAGAAAAATGCAACTTCAGGAAGTTGAAATGTATATCATTGGTTATTGTTTAAAGTGAAACATTTTTTATTGCTAATTACTTTGAATTAATTGGAATAAATTAAGTGGCAGAATTATTCTTAATTTCAATTTGATTTTAAGATTATGAGTTAATTTTTTCTGTGAAAGGGTATGGGAACTAAGCTGATGTTTGGTCAAAAGGGTATAAGTACTGTTTTGTAATTTTACAAGAGAACAAAAAGAATCGCACTTAGAGAAGTTGTAGTTGAATTATTTATTTTCAGATACAAAGATATACATAAGTAAATTGTATTAGGTTAGTTCAAAATTATTTTAAAAGAATTTAAAAAAATAGTTTTGAAATAAAAGGAATGTTGCTTCACTTAACTCAATTTTCAATTCTTCTGACACATACACTTTTGCCTAAATACAGGTGTAAATGTTTCTTGAATGTGCTTTAATTTGTTGAATTACAAGTTGTTCAAATAAGAATAGTGTTGTGTATTGTATTAGTTGTGCACATCTTTGAATACACAATGTTTCATTCAATATGTAGATTTGATCTAAATTTTCAGACTCTGACTTGACACGAGATTAATGCAAAAGTTTGTCTCTGCAGCTAGTCTAATACCACAATAAATTTATTATGAGAAATAAGAATATCAAAGTTTGAATTCAACATTCCTTGCCACAGAGAAAAGAACAATGTTTTCATAGCATATCACAATAATACTTGCATAAAATGTAGCAATCAATGGCAAGTTTGTTTGTAAGATTATCTTAATGGGGACAAAAATATAGTATAGAACTATCTGGAAAGTTGCTTCTTCCTTTTTTTTTATAGACTGTAGCCTGTCTAGCAAATATATTTTAAAACAGCTGATATTTCATGTAGCCACTTTCACGAGTTTACATTCTACATTCTTCTTACTACCATAAATTTAAAAAGTTTCTTTCCATTGTGTTTTTGGACAACCCACCCTTCCCCTTTCTTCAGGTCTTCTGTCTCTTGCCTCCTTCACTAGTCTATCTTCCTCCATTCTCTTTGTGTCATTCCATTACCTTCTTCTTTCATGGATCCATTCTGGTATGATGTCTATTTGACAGGATTATTGGAAGTTAGTATTGCGTTCTTTATCCCTTTACGAGTTTTATTTACTATATTTCTTAACATTTGCATCTCTGATACTTCCATGATTTGACATATTTTCTTGTATCTCTCTGGTTTCTATCTCATCTCTGGTTTAGGATGCATATGACAGTACGGGTCTAATTACTGCCTTATATATTCTGATCTTAGCTTCTTTTCTAAGATTCGGATTATTCTATATTGAGTGGTTAAGATAGCGTATTATTCTATTTGCTTTTGTACTTTGTTCCTTTGCTTCACTTATAGATCTACCATCACGGGTTATCACTGTGCCTAAATATTTAATTTCCATCACTTGTTCTATTGAGCGTTCTTTCACTGCCAATTTGCATCTTAAGAGCTCTTTCGAAATTGCCATGCCTTTAATTATTTCTATTGATATGGTTGTGTTGTGCACTTGGCATGATTTAAACAGTTGGAATAAGAGACGTAGATCATCTTCATTTTCTGCAATTAAAACTATCATCTGCATAACAGGCGGATTTTATATTATGAGGTCCAAAATGATATCCTTTTTTATTAGCAAGGTCTCTTAAAATGTATTCCATTACTAAGTTAAACAGTATCAGGCTCAGTTAGTCTCCCTGTCTAATTCCTTGGGTTGTTTCTATGGCTTGAGGTATTTGTCCGTTGTTTTACTTTGATTCTGTTATTTGTTTATATATCCATGATAAGTTTAATAAAGTTGCATGGAATGTTTTCTTTCTTCAATAATGTTACCATATCTATAAGATGTATGCTATTGAATGCCTTCTGCATGTCTACAAAGCACATACATGCAGGTTTATTGAATCCCAGAGATTTCTAACAATTTGTCTGATGATGAAGATCGTGTCATTACATGACCTTCCTCTTCTAAATCTTTGTTCTTCTTCTCTCCATTCTATTAAGCCTCCCAATACCTGTGTGATAGTTTTTGTTGTGAACTTGAGAGTTGTATTTAGAAGATTGATTCCTCTATAGTTATTCAGGTCTAACGTATCTCCTTTCTTAAAAAGAGGGATTAGAATGCTAGTTTTCCATTCTTCTGGTATTCTGCTCTGTTTATATCACTTTCTATTTTTTTAATTTGGTATCGTTTATATTATCTGTTTCTCTGAAATCTCAAGCTCTTGTGGTGAATGTGTCAACAATAATGCCAGTGTTGGTGGTTCATGGAACAGATTACTAAAGTATTCCACCCAGTATTCCTTATTACCGATTTTTGTTGTACTTAATTGATTTGTTTTGGATTGTGCATTCCTTATAAAATGCGATATCTGCTTTTGTAAGCCATAGAAGTCATGTACTAGCCTTGCAGCAAAGAATTCCCAATAATTTTCTTTATCTTTATATTTACTAGGTTTCTTATGAGTTTGTATTCTTCATAGTCTTGTGATAGTTTGGACTGTTTGCATTTGAGTTAGTTTAGTTTCTCTCTAGTTATTTCTTTGACCTTTATTTCTTCTGTATACCATAGTATTTTCTCAATTGTTTCTATTCATTCTTTCTACAGCTTTTTTCTAACGCTTCCTCTATCGATAAACGTATATTGGCTTTTATGATTTCCCAAGCTCTTGTTCCCTAATCCCATTATTTTTTTATTCTTTCTTCCAAGTGGTTTTTGTGTAATTTTTGTGTATATTCATCTTCCAGGAATTGGATATTGATTTTTGGCATTTTGTCCTTCAGTATTTTTTGTTCTCGTTTTAATGTTATTCTTAGTTTGGCTATCACCAAATTATGGTCACTGCCAATGTCTGTGCTTGTTATGCTTCTTATATCCAAGATGCTTGATGGATGTTTCATTCTATTTGTTATTACATTGTCTATCATAGATCACTGTCCTATGGTATTTTCCCACGTATATTTATGTTGATTCTTATGATCAAAGAAGGTATTATTTATTCTTAATTCATTGTGTAGGCAAAACTCTATGAGCATTTCTCCACTTTCATTCAGGGATGCTGCGTTAAATCTATTTTTTATGCCAGGTATAAAGTCATTTCCAATTCTTGCATTAAAGTCACCTGCGATTACTATTGACTGACCTTCATTTCCCTGTCCTGCTTTTTCTTTACAAAATATTGTAGATATTTTAATTTGTATGTAATTAAATTGACATATTTGTGTTGAACTGAACAAGTAATGAATGAATGAATGAGTGTTCTTGGCCGTTTAGCCAGAAAAAAATTCAGCTAAGGCTGATAATGGAAGATTTTCAATTGTGACTTGCTCTTCTTTCTTTTTGGGGATGAAGTTCTTTGATTTCTCTCATTTAAAATATCCTTTAAAGTGTCAATGAATTCATTATTATTCATGTTTGTAAAATGTAATTTTGAAACTTTTATTTTAGTTGCAAGAAAAACTTGTTTGTCACAATTTATTTTTAATTTTTACTGAAACATTCTTCTCTCTTCTGGATTAATTTGTTGTGTCCTTATTCTATTAATCCCAGTCACAAAATATATAGTGAAGTTGAAGTAATAAGTAATATGAAAAGTTATACAATGAAGCAAAAATAATTGTTGGTATTTTTTACATACCAATTACTTTGTAATTATTTTTAATATATAATTTGTTTTTTAGAGTGGCTCATATGCTCTGGACAAGATAGATGTGGATGAGGCATATGAATTCACAAGGCTCAAGCAATCAATGGAACTCGTTGGCTTTGGAACAGAAAAGCAACGTAGATTATTTGCTGTATTATCAGCAGTTCTTCTTCTGGGTAATGTAGAATTTCAGCCTAGGAAACAAGCTGCATACAGACATGATGAGGCTGTTGGTGTAAGAGATCCAGAACCTGTGCGACTGGTGTCAGAACTTCTGCGTGTGCGCCAGGAGACTCTCATTAGTGCTCTGACTTCAAAACGTGCCAAAGCATCTGGAGAGACATTAATTATTAACTTCAGGTTGCCAGAGGTAATGAATTACTGTTGGTAATAATTAAAGGTTTTTTTCTGATTGTGTTGATAGTGTTGTTAATCATGTGGCCATTCAGATGTATGTGTATTGTTGACTATTTCCTTGGTTTAAAATTAGAATTACCTTTTATTGAACCTTGATAATATGAACTGGGCTAATTTCTTTCATTCATAAATTTTATCACAAGATTCATAGACAACAAATTTTATGATTGGATTATTAATTAGTAGCTTGTTTAGGTTTTTCAGATCAATAATTGTTGTTTTTGTAGGCTATTGCTGCGAGGGATGCTATGGCTAAGTGTCTATATGGAGCTTTGTTTGATTGGATCGTTCTTCAAGTGAATCATGCATTGTTATCAAAGAAGGATACGTTACGAGAACATCAAGGAAATTCCATTGGAGTTTTGGATATTTTTGGGTTTGAAGACTTTGGAGTTCATAACAGGTAAGAAGTAATTAATATAATTTTAAATTTTTTTGCAGTTTGCATGGTAAAACTTCAATCATATTTCACTACTTTGATTTTGTGTGTAGATCTCAATTCTGGATGGAGCTGTTTTTAAACTTTTTAAAATGTTCTTTATGTAAGAGATTGTCTAAATTATTGATCAATGATGTATGAGTAGTAAATAGAATATTCTAAGGTGAAAAGTTTAGATATTTAAGTGTCAACCTTTTTATCCAATCCCTAAGAAATTAATGTTTCCTGCACCATGTCTATCTTTCTGCCTGTTTGTTGTGATTGATAGTGACTCTCTCTTCCCATTTCTGTCTTCGACTCTCTCGTTCTGTCTCCTTCCGACCGTTTGTGTGCCTGATCACCCCTCTGGCCATCCTTTCGCCTATCTGCCCCTCCAACCGTCAGTCATTGAACATAAGTGCCCAAATCGTACTCACCCTGATAGATATGAATTAATATTAATTTTGAAATTAGCAATAGTCTTATTAAAGGTAGAGAAAGTTTTGTTAAGGTCATCATTTCTTCCCAATTAGATCTTGAAGTGATATGGTTAGTTAAGTAAAGAAAGATTTATAAAACATTCTTAACTTTTTTTCTTTAAATATTTTGTAGGAATGAAGTACATTGTGTAAATTACTTGGCAGAAGTAATTCTTCAATAAAACTTTGGAATTAAAGAAATTAATGATTCTGATGAGATAACTGTCATGCGGGGTGCAGAAATCTTCATTCTCAAACTGAAATCCCAGCTGAGCAAATAGTTTTGGGTATTGGAAACATTGAGGCATATATTGGATCAAAGAGAGAATCCTTATACATATGACATAACCTATTGCTGACCACAGAACTGTAACATTCCTAGGGGTATCTTAATGTTAATTAGTGTTTGTTAGACATTTGCAGGTGTGAATTGTTAGTTTTATGTACATGGCAATTATTTGATTGAATTTTGTTTGGTAACATGTCTGTTTCTTTCATAGCTTTGAACAGTTTTGCATAAATTATGCAAATGAACACTTACAATACTATTTTAATCAACATGTGTTCAAATATGAACAAGAAGAATATCGAAAAGAATGTATTAGATGGACAAACATAGATTTTATGGACAATACCGCCTGTCTTCAGCTAATAGAGGGAAAACCAAATGGTTTATTATGTATGCTTGATGACCAATGCAAGTAAGTAACTTGTGCAGGCTGAAATGAAGCAAATTAATTTATTTTTTGTAAACTGTGATGCATTTAAAATTGTAAAAACTTAACATTCACTCTTTTATTTACAATTTGGGTTTTGAGTTTGTTTATATTGGTATAATTTAAATTCATTATCGAGTTATTTCTTTACCAGTTTTCCTGGAGCTACTAATGAAACATTGCTTCAAAAATTTAATTCAGTTCATAAGGAAAATAGTTTCTATGAAATACCACAGCGTCGAGAAGCTGCATTTATAGTCAGACATTATGCTGGAAAAGTGAAATACCAGGTAAGACTATTATAATTAAATATTTTGATGAATATCAAACAAAAAAATGACAATTTTGAAATAGTCCTTCAATTAAATAAATTGATGGATTTTATAGAAATTACATGAAATACAAAATTACATTTTTTTAGGTGGCAGAAATGAGAGAGAAGAATTTAGATTTAATGAGGCAGGATATAGTGGGTGTACTGAAAAACAGTAGCATGGCTTTTGTAAGGGAGCTTGTTGGTGCGGATCCTGTTGCTGTTTTTCGTTGGGCTATTGTTCGAGCCTTTTTCCGTGGTTATTTTGCTTTTCATGAAGCAGGGCGAAGGCACCGTCAAGGACGAGGTAAGTATCAGTGAAAAATTAGCAACTTAAAGGAAACTCTACATGATAATTGCTGACTTAAAAATCCTTAGGAGATATCAAATTGGAAGTATCTAAATTTCAGATTTCATTAAGGTGGTTTGTGACGTCAAATGCCTCTTTTCTTTTTAATTATTTATTTATTTAGTTAGATTTAAGATATTTTTAACCGTGCTCATTTGTTTGACAAGTCAGTTATTGTCTTTTTCTTCTGAATTTTTATTGTTGTTACATCATATTAAAAAAATATTCACTGATAAAATGTTCTTTCAGAGGGCAATAAGCAAGGAACAGCACAGACCCGTTATCGAAATCACACTCCAAATGAATCTATTATTAGGTAAGCTATTTAAACCCTTGTATAAATGCTTCAGTTTATTTCTCTGTGCAGGAATTGTGAATGCTTAATGTCAATGTGTTGCTAATTTGTTTATTAATCCTTTTTGACAAATAGTGGAATGTAGAGAACTAATATACAAATAGAATAGCAAAGTTACTAATAGTGTTCATTTAAATAAATATGAGAAAATTAAGATTGTGTATGGTGTTTCTTTGGAGTAACTTGAACGTATTCCTGTTACTGTGGTAATGTGCAGTTTTAATTCATTGCCTAAATGTTAAGAAATTATTATTGATAATTTGAAAACACTTCTGATTAAGATGCTGAGAGAATGTTGATGTCTCTAGTAACTTCCACATTTCTGCAGTGTACAAAGTCACAAAACACCCATATATGAATTCATAATTTGCTCAGAAATACAAAGCAGCATACTATTTCAGAGACGTCACTAAATATAGGCCTTTTTGTTTCTCTGTAGCCATCTAGTGACTGTTTCCACAGTGAATCTCACAGTTAACAGGATTGTGTAAGTGATCGTGAAATGACTTGTTGATATTCAGTGTTCTGTATTCCTTTAGAATTTTCATTATAAAATAAGCATGCCTGATCCTTTATTTTTTTATTTTAATTGTGTTTTATTCTGCATGTTCATTGTTGTCTTCATATAGTATTTGCATCATGACTGTTTATTCTTGACATATTATTCAGGCTGTGATAAGTTTTGTATTACAATTGTAAGAAACATCAGTATGTTTTTATATTACCATACATTTTGTCACCATAGTCTTGAATGCACTATTCACTATGTTCACAAATATAGCTTGTAGGTAGAATAAATATTTTGCTTCAATGAAATATATTCTGCATGGTAACGTTTAGTTAAATGAGCCCTCTATATCTTTCGGTATCAAATATTAACTACTTTCAATTGCAATTTTCACGTCTATTCTACATATTCACCTAGTTTGTAGAATCGTACCACACAAATTGCATTTGCTTATCACTGAATGTAAGTTGTAATACAGATAAATCAGTTCTCTTTGTTGATAGGATAGTTTCTGTTTACTACATCTAGTACAACCACATTTTGTAAATATTAATCATTCATATAATTCTTAATACATGGAATTATTATTCAGCAAAAACATTAAATGATTTCCTCTTCATTAGATGTAAATCAATAAAATTTATATACATTATTTATATTTCATCTAAGTCAATTACTGACTTATTAAGTTCTGTGCTGTTTCACTCTCGTCCTGCTTATAATATTGATTAGGATATCAAAATTGTTGAAAAATTTAATTAAATTGTAGAAAATAAGTTAATATGAATTTCTTTGGTTCATTCTATTGTCAAATTATAATATTAATTGCATATTAACATTATAATAAGAAGTTATATATCCTTTTTACAAACAAAAATTAGTTGATGGGGCTCAAGTTTGCTACAGCACTTAAATGTCTTCCAGGAAAAATAAATCATTCCGGCCACGGGAGCGAGGCAAGAAAGGGTTGAAAAACTTACAGACAGTGAAGACCCTTGTGGGTCGCACGCAGAGTCACTCCAGTGGGCAGCAGCCTGGCAAAGCACGAAAGCAGCCTCAAACCGTCACTGCACAGTTCCAGCAGTCACTGCACAGTCTCATGGATACCCTTAACCAAGCAAACCCTTTCTTCATCCGCTGCATCAAGAGCAATGGGAATAAGGTTTGCAAACACTCATCGGTTACAATTAGATGTAGTACATGAGAGAATGTTTTGGGGGTGGTTTCTGCCTGCTGATGGATTAATTTAGTGTTAGTGATCAAAAGAAATATATAATCATTTATGCTCATTTATAACACGGTCTCTTGACAATGCCTCCTGTTTCTAGCGTTACACAAGGTACTGTAATTTTATGTCCCATGGCAAGGAGTTTCTGATGCATCTCATTGCCGTTTTGAACATGTTTTGTAGGGATTTGTTGTGACCTGTTCTTACCCTATTTTGAACTTCTTTAGCGATCAATGATTCTTTAAAATACCATTGAGTTTCAGAAGTTAAGAACAAGGGCAAAGGACGAAGCATGATTGAGTAAACTTTCTGTATAATTTGCACCTTTGCTAACCTGCAGCATATTTTAAAAAAGGCTAGTTTTGCACTTGCTTTTTGCACAAGAGTGCTGCTGTGGGTACCTATTTTTCTGTTAATACACAAAGAAAATTGTGGTAAAATTTACCATGAAATGGACTCAATCTGTGACAGCATTATTTGAAGGTATTTGCAAGTGAAAATGCACCCTATATTACATTATTTTTTCTTCCTACAGATTCCAAATAAATTTGATGATGACACCGTACAGCGGCAGTTACGTTATACTGGAATGTTAGAAACTGTTAGAATACGACAAGCAGGATACAATGTTCGTCTTACTTATGATGAATTCATCCAACTTTACAGAATTCTTTTGCCTAAGGGACTTGTAAGGTAAGGACAAAGTAGTAGTTGAAATTGAAGTAATATAACTTATTTATACTAATGTATAAATATTTGGGTAAATATATGTATAAATATTTATACTGATGTATAAATATTACTTATTCATGTTGAAAATTTTTTTTTATGGTTTACTAGTTCATTACTGTGTGTCTATGGATCCTACAAAGCGCTCTGAATTCTTTAAGCCTCCACAGACCTCTTGAACACTTTGTGGTCTCTACCAAGTAAACAAAACACATTAATTTTCTGTGAACTCAATTTATTAAGCCTAAAAAAATGAAAACACAATAAGTATTTAGTGAAGTATTTAAATTTAAAATAACTCAAACCCCACTAACTTACTTAAACCCCTCCGGCTTGAATCGGCAATTCAGTAATTAGTGTACTCTTGTTTTGAAAGTGACTGATTGCAATTAGTAGCCTGCCTATATATACAACTAAAGCCATAAAAACGGCTCAAAAAATTTGTGCTTTAAAATTTCTCCACTTTTGTAATACGGGTGGCGATAGGAAATATGGTACTAGTCCCATTTTTGGGTATTGCTAGGTTTTTTCAAAAATTACAAAAACCAATTTTAAATGTACAAAATTGAAGCTTTAGTTTTTTGTCTCAGGCAAAGTCTTTTGTACAAAAGTACCTCTTTAAAAAATGCCATGTTCAATTTTTTGAAGAAAAAAACCTGTAGTTTTTGGGTAACTTGCGCTTGCAATTAATGGGTTAAAATTTTCTCAAAAACCACTCCAATTTTTTCTTTAAAATTTCTCCACATATGTAATAAGGGACGGAAAGAAATATGGTGCTAGTTCCATTCTTGGGTATTACGTTTTTTGTTTTCTTCTGAAATTGCAGAGAAAAAAACACCCTGTAAATTGAAGATAATATTTTTACCTCAGAAAAAGTTTGTTGTAGAAAATTAGCTATTTACATAAATAAACTAGGTGGCTATTAAATGCCACAGACTTTCTCACAACATTTCGTTTTCTAATTTCTTTAGTCTGAACTAGGATTTCAGTTGTGACTGATTCTCTTTCCACCTTTCTTCTCACCTTTGGTGTCCCAAAGGACATTTTTTTCCACATTTTCTTGATTTTTCGGCTTCCTAATGCTAGAACTGAAACCACCATATGCTTATTACTATTATATAAATGTATAACTTGTGTACTACCCAGGTGGCAGAGATGGAACTTGTTTATGGACACAGCTCTTTGGAGGGGAAGATAGCCAGTTCGAGTCTTGGCCAGTGAATATTATTTGTCACAATTCTCTGTTGCCACAGAAAATAATTGAGAATTCTGGAATCTTAATTGACAACTATTCGAAACAATTCTAATTGCAAATACTATTAATGAAAATCAATAAACTGAAAGTGTCTGTATGTGATTTTCGAATTTTCAACTTCTAAACAATATTTTTCACTTTTTATTCGATTTGTCAAACATATGTCTCGACAAATCAATTGTTGTCTTTCGGTGCTTGTGACTATTATAGAAGTGCCAATTCGCTGCATAACCCCGGTGGATAAAGTAGTTAAATGGGTTCGGACTCAGCATTTCGGAAGGTAGTGCCGCTGGTTTGAGCCTGGTAGGTGGATAATTATTTGTCACAACTCTCTCTTGGCACACAAAACTATTGAGAATTTCAGAAACTTTATTGAAAATCATTTGAAGCAGTTCTACTTACATATACAATCTATGAAGTTTCCAAATAAACTGAAAGTGGCTGTATGTAATTTTTGTATTTTGAAATTCTAAACTAGTGCACCACTCTCTTGTTCTATTTGTAAAATGTATGTCACATCAAATCAGTTGTTCAATATAATTTTGCAGAACGTTTAGAAACATTCCGAGAAAGTAAATGCTTTGGCAGCACCACTAATTTTTGTTCTTAAACCTGGATTTTGTTTTTCGATTTTCTAAACATTTTAAACTATGATTTTTCTTTTCTGGTCCTGAGAAATAGTTCAAAGCAGTTGCCACCACATAATTCAATTTTACTGAAGTGGTCTTTTGGAAATCATATGAGTTCTTCAATATTTCAGGCACAGTAATGAAGTTTGTACCAATATAAGCTTACTTTGTTTTCCTTCTTCATATACCACCATTGCTACTAAAGTATTCCAAGTCACATCTGGATTTAGTAAGGGAAATACTTTCAATGTCGTTAGAAATGACATACAACCATTGAGCCATATTCCCACTTACTTAATTAAGAGAGATCTTGACAGAAATTCAGGTAGTTCCTCTTATATTGGTTCTCAATGGAGCTTTGAAAAAAGCTTCGAAGAAATAAAATTTTTAACTTGAGGCTGTGAACATGTATCTTTTGGCAGCATGGTACAAATTGTCAGTGAACAAGAAGAACAACATATCCAAAATTGTCATTTTTTAGTTAAGTGAAGTTTAAGTACAGTAAGAAAACAACTACTTTGGCTAGTACAAATTTCAAAAATTAGTATACTACAGCAAAGATATACTGGAGTAGATAGACTTTGTCTTTCACCTTGAAGTAAGTGTGTACACTCAAGTGAAAGCCATTCTCGTGCAAAATATATTTAAATATGTAATTTTTATAGTGTAGGTTTTACTAGTATTCTTTAAAGAAAGAAACACACAAATATGTAAAATCCGTTTACTTAGTAATAAAATATGCAGTTATTCGTTTCCATATTGTCATCTGATAATCCCTTTTCTAATAATAACTAATAATTCTTTTGATGAAAGGTAAATTTAAAGTAATAATTCTAAAGAATTCTTGTTTGATTCAGTAACGAACTGGTAAACCATAAAGTCTTCTATGCACTTTGGTCATAACATGATGTCACCATTCTGGTGACTTCCAACCCCTTGGGACAGAGACCCAAACCTGAGTTCCTTCAAAATACAATTCAGGGCAGTTATTTCTTTCATCTTGCTAAAGTTCTCTTTACTATCAATGAAACACAAGTTTTATTAGTGCAGATAGTTGTTTGACTAAGGTTTGCAAATCTAAGTTATTTTTAATATTTTGTGAAAGATTATTCGACTGCTTTCATTTCAATTACCTTTTTTTTTTAAATTGAATTCAGGAGAGTAAAGACTCTTCTTAATGGCTAATAATGAGTTGTTACAGTACAATTCAATTTTTTAAAATTTACTATCATAGTCATCCCCTATGGCACCCTGAAAACTATTTAACCTGATGTGTCCTAACACCGTTTTTTTGCATTGTCCTAAAACAAATGGATTAAATAAATTAAAATATCGCGCATGACTGTAAATAATTCTTTATATAATCTAGATAGTACTTCACTTGCTTCTTTTATGCTCATAAGAAATTACCATCCTTTCATAGATAATATTTTATGTCCTTTATTCATCTTGTATATTTTTTTATCTGTCATTGTTGTAGGTTGTGCAATGCAACATTCATGAAAAGATTTTGCCGCGAGTGGCACGTTTCTTTTTCTCCCTGTTGTTGCTCATTTAAGTCCACTCCCAATTTTCCCATGATTTTGCAACTTTTTCTATCTGAACTAGCTGTTTTTGTATGTTTATGGATATTAATAATGTTTATTTTTTTAAATTCAGTTCTCAGGCAGATGTTCGTGATTTTATGGCTACATTGAATCTAAATCGTGACAATTATCAATTGGGGCAAACCAAAATTTTCTTGCGTGAATCTGAAAAAGTTAAACTTGATTTCCGTTTACATCAACAAATTATGTCCAGCATAGTTACTATTCAAAGATGGTGTCGCTCAGTCTTAGAGCGGCGGCGATTTTTACGGATACGAGAGGCTGTTATTGTAATACAGGTGAGTTATTATTTTTGTTGTAGTTGTCATTATCCTTTTCTGTTCAATAATAAGCTTTGAGTTTTGAATTATACAGAAAAGATCTCAAGTTATGTTTGTTCTTTGTTAAAAATAGGCTAACTGGCGTATGGTTCATGCCCAGCGTTTACTGGCAAACATGCGCAGACAGATAGATGCTGCTATTCGCATCCAGACTAGTTGGAGATGCCACTTCCAACATCTTTGGTTTAAAAAATTGCGTGGTGGCATCATTGTTATTCAGGCCCATGTGCGAGGAAAATTAGCCCGTGAGAAGTATCTGGAACTGAAAGAAAAAAGAAGAAAAGAACTTGAGGTAAATAATTTTTATTTATTTATGATTTTATATTTTAGGAAGTGTGATTTTCAGTTATGAATATGTGATGACTTAACTAGAAATGTAGTTTCAAAAGTTAATGTCTAAATGGAAGTGCTATTTTCATAGACAATTGGTTGGGTTTGGATGACTTATTCTTTCTAAGAGAAACATGTTTTTTTTTCCCTTTGTCTTTATGTTCTCTCAGAATTAATTCTTAATTCACTCAGAATTGTTTTATCATACTTTTGGAAGACACTAGCTGAAAAAGTTGTTTGTTTTTCAGGCCCAGATGCTATTAGAAGCCAGTCTGTTGTCCCAAAAGTTACAAGAAGAGGAGCAAAAAATAGCAGAATCGGTTGAACTGCCTCAAATTGAGTAAGTAGAGAAATCAATGTGTTGTACTAATATAATTGATGCGAGGATATAATGTTATTTCATTCATGGAGAATTTTTGGAATGAGGCATTAGAAGTTGAATTAAACATAGATCGTCTAAAGAGTCTTGGTGATCATTTGTAGACTTCTTGTTCTGCTTAAAATAATATTCCTGAGTTACGATAATTTAGAGTAAAACAGACTTAAATATCTTATTCTTCCACGTATAAAAATTGAGTTAATGCCATTTGATAATTTTGTAACATACATTTCCAGTGCGAGATTTGTCAACTTTTGAACAAAGAAACAAACAAAATTTTGTAGGTTATCTTCTACTTATTAGCTGTATCAATGATTAATTAACTCAGAAGTGCTTGCAATAGGAAAGCATTGTGCTCACAAAATATTACGAAGATTCTGTTGCCATTTTTTGTGAATACTGTTACCATTAAGGGCTTTGCTAGAGAAGTTAACCCTTTATTTTACATGAGAAATATGAATCATTCACTCTGTCATATACTTGGTTACAAGTGAGGTTCTAAAATATCTGTAATCTTCCTTCATTCAGATAAGTTTGTTTTAGTATTATTACTAGAGCCTTGAAATTTGCCAAAGTGCCCTTATATCATTGTCATAATTTTAAGACTAGAATAAGGATCTTTTAATTTTGCTTCTGGTATTGTTTTGGAAGAGTGGTGGTTTTGGAAGAGTAGTGACAGTCGGGTCTTTACTGGACTTCCTTGTGTCACCTGAAATAAATAATCTTTCTTTTCTGTCCTTCTCCATTTTGGTTAGAAAGTAGGTAGGGTGATTCTAAGAATTGGTTGTCTTGAGTATGGACTGGAAAGGAAAGCGCTGTTTATACATCCACAGGCTACAACGTGCACTCCAATTTCTTTTTCTTTAAATTTTCTTCACTTATGTTATAATAGAGATGATAAAAAAATATGGTGAGACTCATACTTTTGGGTATTGGTCGGTGTTTTGAAAAAAAAAAAAAATTTTGAAAGTATAAAATTGAAGATAGAGATTTTTGCATCAGGCAAAGTCTGTTGTACAAAATTATCTCTTCAAAAAACGTTATGTACAATTTTTTGAAAAAAATGAGTAGGTTATGCCTATTTTGCGATTGAAATTTACAACAACGACAACAAAAAATTCTCAAAAACTACTCAGATTTTTTCTTTAAATTTTCTCCACATATGTAATAAGGAACGGTAAGAAATATGGTACTAGTCTCATTTCTGGGTATTGTTCGCTTTTTTCGAAAATTGCAAAAAAGTTTCAAAACTGAAGCATTGAAGATAGATATTTTTATCTCGGTCAGAATCTGTTAGTAGAGTAGCTTTGTGTCTTTTTTGCTTGAAATTAATGAAATATATACAGGTTTCACACCAACTATGAACCACCTTTTCATTTATGGCAAAAATGGCGCTTTTAGAAAGAATTGATAACAAAGTATGTGCCCATTTTTGGCAGCGCCCATCGCTGCATGCACACTTTGTTGTTAGTGTCAGTATAAAATTATTACATAATCATTACTAAGGGACATGAAAGTATGTGCTGTTTTAGCACTACTAGTTTCTTTCAATTTCTGGTAAGAATAGAGTGAAAAACACTTAAAAACATGGCTTAGGTTCAATGTCAAAATTGGAAAAGTTTGAAATTTTGTCAACGATTTCTTGCTACTACAAAATTGAAGGTAAAGATTTTTTCTTCAAATAAAATTTGTTCTCCATTAAGTTATTTTGTTAACTGATTCTTTCATTAATGTCACGTACATTTTTTTGAAAATTATAGTTTTCATGCAATATGTCAAGAAATATACGCAATATTAAAAAATATCAAAAACAAGGATTTCTGAAAAACGGTTCCAAATTTTTTCTTCAAATTTTGGGAGTGATTAGTGCTAAATGTACTGTAACACATATAATAATACAGTGTTGTTTTCTTCTGTTTTTTCAGTACTTGCAAAAATCTAATTTTTTTGACTTGCCCCTCACATTGTTAATATTACATTAGCAATGATTTCTTTACATTATTGCATTTATGAGAGCTTCGAATGATGCCTTATAAGAGTTTCTCGAAAACTCAAAAGTTTTCTTTTAAAAAGAACTCAAAATTCCGCATTGTCAACACACAAACTCCCATTATCTCGACAACGTCTTCAAAATTTTTCTTGAAATTTTTTAAATGGAGAATGCTAAATTGATTTAATTACTAGACATAAATGCCACTTTCATTTATTATTTTGTTTTTCAAAAATTACTGAAATAGTTTTATTTGAAATATCTTTTAAACTTTTAACATTTACATTTCCAGCCATTTAATTACAAAATTTGTAAGTATAATTCTTCAAATTATTTTCGATGAAGTTTCTCAAAAAGGCTCCAAATTGTTCAATGAAAATTTTCATACATGACAAGATTTTATTTTTCTATAAAATTCTTGAAGTCATGTTTTATTTTTACTATCGGGAGCCAAAAAATGGAGAAAATGTGAAAACAGAAAAATGTAATTTGGTCAGCGATAAATGGCAGCTGAGAAGAAGATGGGGCAATACTGAAAAGCTAGACTAAACCAGAGAAGTTAAGAATTCAACTAATACTAGAAAGTCTGTGCCATTCTGTAGCACCAGTAGTTTATTGTTATTTGTCACATTTTTCATGTTGTTTTTCACCCATATTTTAGCCAGATTAAATGTCTTTTTTGAATGCCTGTTTATGTGAAAACTAGAGGTCGGTCCTCCTCAGTACTCAGATAGAACTTATTGTGATTGATACTTATAGAAAATGATTCAATACTTTTTTGATACTTGGAATTTTTTTACGTTCCTCACCACTCCCTTCCAATTTTTCAGAATAATTATCTTGTCCATGTTTCTTTTTCTATTCTCGTTCTTCTGCCAGCAATTATGTTTCCCCCAGTTAATTTTTACTTAATCGTGCCTTTGAGTCATTAGATCAGCTGACGTTGCGACGCTGTGGCCCTGCTTTTTGCACATGTACCTGACAACATGTTTTGAGATAGTAGGCAATATGTGAAAGAAAAGAAACATAATGGGCCTAGAAAGAGTTAGAATGTTGTTTTTTCTTAATTAAAATATTTAGAAACTTTCAGAATATTCGAAGCATGTATTTATGAAGCGCAGAATATGGCTTTCCAATTCTAATTAAAGGACTTTTGTTCATGATGAGTTTTTAAAGTTGTGTGGTATTGAATATCATTTCTCTCAGGCATGTATCGATAGTGTGTATTGAGAAATTCAGATATCGACCCTTTACTAGTAAAAGTAAATGCCTTTTTACCTGCCTATTTTGGGTGCAATAAATGTTTGAGCATCCAGGCTCTAATTATTACATAATGTGGGTGGAAAACTTGACTAAAATTCAAGGATATACATTTTTGGCGAACATTTTTAGAAATGTTTTGCGTAGTTACAGATATTAAAAATAGTTCTCAAGCTCTTATGAGAAAAGTTGATTTGCTCCTCAGTTTTGTTGTTGCCTGCATTTCAGATAATTTCTGCCTTATCTGGGTCATATGAATTATATGGGTGGTCTAAAAACTTTGACACTGTGCATACTGTTGTATTTCTCAGATGCTGTGCAGAACTATATCCAAATTTCAGTGTTTCTAAGATTGATAGTTTTGCAAAATTGCTTGAACAGTGTAATAAAATGACTTACAAGCAAACTACTAGGATACTAGAAGCATCAGCTAAAGGATTCAGTGATGCATTCTTCCCAACTAAAAATTTCTGAGGCCTGCATCTTGCAGATAAGCTGTGAGCCATCCCAGGTTAAAAATAAAATATAAGATTAACAGTATTTAAAGAAAAGAGCTGAATGAAAACACAAAGAAGTATAAAATAGAGAACATGTAATTTAACTTCAATTCTATTCAGAATCATGTTGAGAAGACATAAAATTCAAGAAATACTAATGTTGAGGAATTTAAAATGTTGATGTTCCGATATGGTGATCGTAAGGACACAATTTTTTATTGTTTCACTTTCTTTTAACGATTGACAAAAGTGTGTGTGTGTGTGTGTGGCATGCAGCTTTTGTTTTTTACTCAGTCCAATAGAATACTTGACTGCTTGGTAATCTTGTAATAGCTGGGGTCCAGTATAAAGTAAAGATTTGCATACATTTGCAAATTGAAATGGAAATGAGGTAAAATATTTATGAAATTGAAATGTGGATGCTTATGTATTCAAAAATTAATTTTTTTATTGCAGGTGTGCACGTGTACAACCTGTTGTTCCGAAGCCTAAATCCATTGGAGCAAAAGAGAACACTCTTCCTTCATATCAAGATGAGAAAGGTATTTTTATTGGCATAGCTGTAGTCTGTAATCATTGCATATTAAATTTAAGTTAAGTATTTATGTATGTATGATTTATGTTCAGAAATCCCAGTGCCCAGTATTTTACTTGTAACTGATCACAAAGGTAGTAGTGATTCTTTGACATCACAAAAGAGTTATGAATCTCAGCGCAGTAGTGATTCGCAGTCCAGTGCCCCTGTTCGTGAAACATTGCATAAAATACGCACATTTATTGGTAGGCATTAGTTTTTTCCTTGGACGAGTTCTATTTATGCCTGTTTCATTGAAATTAGCATCATATGCCCTTTCTGCTTTTTTGTAGGAGTTGCAAAAAAGTCGGAGAATACTGCTGCCCCCCTGGCGTATAGTGATGGTGAGCTGGAAGACTCAAATTTATCTACTCCTAGGACTTCAGCTTCTGATGTTTCTGTTCATCCCATCAGTCAGTTTATTGCCTCTGAAATTACGAAGTTGGATCGTAGCAAAGTTGAACTGAGAAATCCTCATGTTCCTATGAATTCTGTGACAAGCAATTTACGACCACCTGCTTATCAGCTTTCTTATAACCATGAACAAATCCATTCTCCAGAAACTACAGTGCCACCACCTCACAAACCACTGAAGAGAGAACCTAGAGTATCGCAATCTCCAAATGTACTGTTGCCAGAGCAGAGATCTCGCGTTCCATTAAAGCCAAGCATCAGTCATGATGAGCAACTTGTGGGAAGGCCAAGGACTATGGAAATTGAAGCACCAGTGCGTAGTGCTCGAAGACACAGAGTCCCACGAGACATTGTGTGTCGTAGTGTAGGTGAGGAAATGACTGACAGTTTGACTGGCTCGCCTTACCCTGGCATCTTGGGTACAATTCGGGAGACCAAGACAACAATGGACAGCAACAGGGCTGCAGATGCTCGTACTTTGTGGATTGCAGGGAAAGATCACAAAACGAGCGATGGAGGTAGTGAGAGTTCTTTGGGAAGCCGCTACTCATCTCAGGAGTCAGAGTGCTCCCCCAACTATCAAATGGAAAATGTGTACCAAAAATCTGGTATTCCCATACATGGTGTTTCTACAAAGAGAAATAGAAGTGGTGCAATAACGTCATTAAATGTGAAGAGACGTAATAGTGATCCTGCTACTAAAAGTGCTTTCATTGCCACTGATCCTGTGGGTACTGATTCTCCTAACAAACCATCAGATGTTCTCCAATGGAAGAGTCCACATGAATTTACCATTGCTGGACATATATTCAAGAAAGTTACAAGGATTCCAAAAGAAGATCGCTGTAATTATTGTAGAAACTCAGTAGATGCTTTTGTTGAACAAGGACACAAATGTGCAGGTTTGTTCTCAAAAATGATTGCAACAAAAAAAGACAGTTGATATTTTGTTTTTGAACTTTTATTCATGAGTATCGATTTTGTTTCAGAATGCAAAGTTTTATTCCACACAAAATGCATTCAAAATGGTGGTGTTGTTCAGATGCCTTGTACCCTACAGGTACAGGGTGGTGGAAAACCAGGAAGAAGGAAAAATCGTAAACATTCCCGTACACCTTATGATATGAATAAATTAACTGGGAAATTCAATTTAACTGGAACTTCTGAATTTACTGACAGTACAGATAAAATAATTTCTGATGCCAGCGAACTGCAACAAATGCAGGATTTCATCACGCAGAAGGTACCTAAGTTTTGAACACTTTAGACTGGGAGTGGATCTTTTCTACTTGATATATAAGTGGAAAATGATGAATTTCAACTCAAGGGTTCTATAATATTTATATGTATGTTCGTAATGGTCTTTTGTTACATTATTGTTATATTTTATTTATTTATTTATTTATTTTAACATGTTAGGTGTCTTCCAGAATAAAAGAAAAAATCAATTTGTTTGAGTTTTCTGAACGTAAATGAGAGTATCTTTCTATAATTCTATTTTGGGATTCTTGTGGTGATATTCTCAAGAACTGAGTGTGTAATGACTGAATATCCTGAACCAAAAAAGTGCTGGGTTACTCCATAAGGAGATGATGTTAAAGGAAGTTACATTTAATGTAACAAAGGCATCTATTGTCTTCACCAACATTATTAATATGCATTTCTTTAATGAGCTATTTTAGATGTTCTAGTCATAATTGGAACTGCTGCACAGTACTATTGCTGATATTTAAAGACTTTCAAAGTCAATAAAGCATGTTATGATGAAGTATTTGTCACGTTTAATTCTGAATTTTTTCAAAACTTGACATGGACTAATCAAAGCTTAGAGAGCATGTTAAAAATTGAATTATACAATTAGTAGGAAATACATTATGATCATTCTCGTGATCTATGCTGTGACCATACATAATCAATGTTGGCATGCATTTCTCATGACAAGAATTTTAAAAAAAGTATAATTTAATTTTGTTACTTTTCAGATTTACAAGATAGAAAGTGAAGAAATACAAAAAGGCAATAAATCTAGTGAGGTAGACAGAGTTTTCAAGCAAGCATTGAAAGAATTTAAAGACAATCTTGTTTCAACATATAGTGTAATCAACAAACAAGGTGAAACATTTAACATCAAGTACAAAGATCTCATTGCAAATTTTCTTCATGTAAGTAAACACAGTACTTAAAGCTACATTTTTTCTCATTTTGCTGTGAGGTCAAAATTTAAAGGAAAATGTTTTTTAGGTGATGGAGACAGTTTGTAATCAAGAACAGATGAAAGAGGCATTTCCTGTTACAATGGGTGTAAATGCTTTCCGAGGTTTTATGAATGAATTTATGAGTTTGAATCGTGTAGAAGAGAAGCCAAAAACAAAGAGGAAGAAAGAGAAAAAGCGGAAAGTGGAAGATCCAATTGTTCACATGGGACATATGTTCCTGTTTTCAATGATAAATATTCCAACTGCATGTGAAGTTTGTTCTTCATTCTTCATGTGGCCAATAGAGAAGAGTCTTATTTGCCAAAGTGAGTTTCTTATTCATTTTGTGTTTTTAAAGAAAGGGCTTCATGTACTTTTAATTGTATTGTCTGAGTTTGTTTTTCTTGTGAAACTGGTTAATTGTGAATGAATTTCTCTACAGATTGCAAATTAACTTGTCATAAAAAATGTTACCAAAAAGTGGGAAACACTTGTGGAAAAGACAGTGGAGCCATTAATCAGGGAGGACCTCGTGTGTTTGGTGTCCCTTTGCATCAGATGGTAGTGGGTGATGGAAAAGTGCCAGTAGTGGTTGATAGACTTATTACAACTATTGAAATGTATGGACTTTACACTGAAGGAATTTATAGGAAATCAGGGGTAGGTCTTTTGTAAACTCTTTTTCATTTTTTAAAATTTCATTTTAGGAACAATTACACTAATTGTGATTTGCTTATGCTTCCAAGATTACTATGGTAAATCAATATAAACAGGTTGTAAAACCTAATTTCTTGTAGATCATGATGATGTTTCCTTAATTTTACGTCACCAATTATCATTAATTTCTTCTTCAACAGGTGAATTCGAAGATCCGGGAACTAAAGACACGCATTGAAGAAGAAAATACTGATGATGTTAATTTTGAAAATTACCAAGTTCATGTTTTAGCTGCAGTTCTGAAAAGCTTCTTTCGTGAGATGCCTGAGCCTCTACTTACATTTGATAGTTATGAGGACTTTCTTAGAGCTGCCAACTTATCAGATGCTCAGGATCGTATTTCCACTCTGTTTGCCATTTTAAAAAAATTGCCAAAACCTAATTTTGACCTGATGGAGAGGTTAATTTTTCATTTAGCAAGGTAAATAATATTATTTTAAAATAAACGGTAACTATTTCTGGAAGTGGATGACCTTATCTTTGTGTTTTTTGTTGTTAGAGTGGCTCTTCATGAAGAAGCAAATCGAATGAATGCGAGTGCATTAGCCATTGTGTTTGCACCTTGCATATTGCGAACTAACAAGATTCTCCCTGCTCAAGATTCTTTGCAAGATATTGGTCGGCAGACTCAGTGTATAGAAACTATTATTTCTGAGAAGTTACGGAAAGTTAAAGCTACGCTTGCTGATATAGATTCGTTGGATACTGCTTGTCATACTGCGAACCATAGATTATCCTCTTTGCGAAGCTCTAAGGTTAGTAATTAACTTCAAGAATTCTTTTCTCTTTCAACTATTTATGGATGTTCAGTCTTTTCTATCTTCAATTATTTTAATATTCCTCTGGGTTTTTTTTGAGAAATATCTTGGAATCACTATTAACTACCATCCCTCAAGGAACATTTTTTTCATGGAACGAACACTGAATCCCATATATTGTTGCTCAGTCGTACCCTAGTTAACAGACCACCCCTCTCCTTGACTACTGGCCAGTGCCTTATTAGGAATTTTCACAATTTATGACCCCTTTTAAGAGACAGCTTTCTGGAAAATGGAAAGAATACATTACATTGAATTTTCAGTAATTACAGTGAAGATTGATGTAAACAGCATTCACATTACATGTCGCTAGACTGAGCTTTCATCCTTGAGAAAATCGAGGTGCAGGAGAAAACAGGAATCGTGTAATATACCTGATCACTAATATGATATCACAGCTGCTCACTCCATTTTAGTTCAATTTCTTCTAATGTGATGGTGGATAAGAAAGAGACTTAACCTTAATTGTTTGAATTAACAAATCTTTTCTTGACTTACCTAACTGAAAGATCATCTAATACTGTAGAATATCAATATTTGAAATGAAGGTTATCGACTTGCCCCCTAACTCGGCTTCTAGAATCTGAGCCCAGCGCTTACCTGTGACTCATTGTTTGATTATTTTTTTAATTGTTATTATTATTATTTTATTTTCCCATCTGAAGAAACATGAGAAAACTGAGTTTTGGGGAACCCTTAAGTATAGAAGTGTTGTGCATACCCAAATGGCATAGTGATAGTGACAAGGAAATGTAATTTTTTTTACAGAAAGTCAACTAAGAGGAATATTAGTATTAAAAATGTTTTATACATTTATTTTTAACATATTCGGTTCTGGAATCCCAGACGAATCACGCACATCATTTTGAAATTAATAAAACTTGTAGTATTGTCTTTTCTCTTTAAATCTGTATGTATTTTATGGTCATTTGATTATAAGATAGTAGTGAGAATAGAATTCAAAGAAACACATGTCAATTTTATAATCAGTGGAAAGTAGCAATGTTACAAAATATGTGAGGAAATGCAATGAACTTCATATAACAACAATTTGGTGCACTATAAATATATTTTGTTAAAGTTCAGAAATAGTTCCATTTGCATATATGTTTATTTCTAAATGTTTTATTCTATGTTTTCTGAGACATTGGTAATTCAGATTGTTGACCAATTTCACAGCATTCTAAAGAAAATGAAAACTCGAATTTGAGAAGACTCACCAATAGAATCATTCCCATCATTATTATTCTCCTTGATATAATTGTTATTGCTCAAACCAGAAAACTGTCCTGGAATAAAATTGTTGTCCACATCAGAAGAATTCAGTTGTGTTCCATTATTCAAAAGCTCTTGAAATTTGAATGTGTCGCCAACAGTATGAACACTACTTACAAAGAAAGACATTCTGAACCTCATTGACAATACCTGACAGTACAATTATCTAATCGCTTCATGGAAAAATTGCAAATACTTGCAAAAAAATAGAAGCACACATTGGTGTTGTGTTCTATGGCAATCTTAATGATATTAAAAATGGTATTCTAGATTCCCAGGAATGTCCGTGAGACGTTTATAACCAGATAAATGTGGAAGAATGTATGAAATATGTCCATAGGTCATAGAAGTATAATGAAGAGTGTATCAGACATGTCCTTAAGATCATTAGTGTTAACAAAGAAAAGAAGGAGATATGTGATTAAATTAATTTAGAAGGATAGTAAATGTTTCTAAAAAGGTATTTACATCCCAAAAGGCAAAATAAAACTTCATCAAAATGTTTCAGCTTTCAAAATTTGTGCACATGCTAAAAGTTTGTAATTATGTTCATTTACTATAACTACACACTTTCCTAAACATCTGATGTATAGTAATAATAAAAAAAAAATTAAAAAAAAAATCATCCATGTCAAGCAACCACTTCTCTGAAGTTGATACCTGCAAGAATCTTAACCTTATTTATATTATAGTATTGAGAGGAAAAGAAAAAATAATCGCAAACATTATATACAATTTTACAAAACCTTCAGATAGAATACCTATTAATCTTTACTTACCTATCAATCTTTAAAAGATAGTAATATTTTGAAATTGGGAGGGGGCTGGAGTTTTTAAGGCCCCTTTTGTGTCTTGAGTTAAAATCATTTACTCTGACTTAGCTGATCATACTTATTTTAATTTCAGATTTTCAATCCTGAAGAATTTGCACCAGCTGAAATGACAACTAATGATGCCAAGCCTTCTCTCAATGCCGATGAAGAAGAAGCAATGTTAGTTGGCACAATTCAAGAAATGCAGAAGGAAAAAGCATTGCTGACATCTGCTCTCCCAAGTTTGACAAGGACTACATCAGATGATGATTTGTTATCCACTGATATGGATGATGGAAGTTTAGATGATGTTACTGGGCATATAGATGAAGTGGATAATGAAGGTTTGTAACCCTTTGATAATATTATTTTTTAAATTTTGTCTGATATATTGATTTTGTTTTTAATAAGTGTGGTGTGTGGGATTGTATCAATGTTTTAGTAGTTGATAGTACATAGCTCAGTGACTGTAGGTCTTTTTTCTCTGTCATTCTTTGCCATTTCCTTTCAAGAGGGTCATTTTGCATGCAATTTTTAACAATGGAAAAATCCAACATGATTTCTCAGGGTTTTTGGAAATACAAAAGAATTACATTTATGTGGATACATTGTTAATGTTATGTAAGAGAGAAATCAGTTTTTGTTGGATCCAAAAGTAGAAATCCAAAATGTAGAAAACATTTCGTTTTAAAACTATTATTTAGGTTTATAACATCTATTAACACGTAATATCATAATGACAAAAAATATAATTTAAGGACCTCACAAAATTGTTTCAGAAATCAATCAAAATAACCATTAATGTGATAATTATAAAAAATAGAAATTATAAGATAGTTTTTGTTTCATTTAATGTTTACTTAAAACAAGAAGTACAGGACCACATTTATTTGCATACATTCTAAATTAAGTGCCCTTGGTATAAAGTAGATTAGGATTCTTATGTCTTTCTTGGTGGGAATGTAGTGGTACATTTATGGTGAAAAGTTTATTTTAATTGTGAATCCCCCATAAAAACCGATATCCCCCTATTGAAATATCAATGACTTGTTGCATTATACAAGTTTGAGGATAGTCACCTAACTGATGGTGGTGCTGAGACCAAACAAATTCCTCTTTTATTTTTTGGGTGAATGATTTCCTGAAAAGGTCAATGATATCACCAAATTCAACAATTAATTAATCCCAATTTGATTTGATTTAACCAGTACATACATGAGGAATTAATGTTCTTGACCTTTCTTCTTTCTCCTCTTCCTCCTTTTTGTCAGTTTATACTAGTTCGTATCATAAAGGAAAGACTATTTCCTCATACTTCAGAACACATTTGCAATTGATGCATTAATACTTTTTTTTACACACAATGATTACAGGTCATACTCCATGTCAGTCTTTGTTACCACCTACCCGTAGAAATCGTGCTATAACAAGGACTGGTGTATTGCGAACAGTTTCTGGTGGTGATGAAGATCAACATCGCAGTGTGATTGGAAAAACGCGTTTGAAACGGCAATCTTCTTCTGATACAAGTGTTGTGTCGCTGTACCCACCCATAGACTGTGATGAAGATCCTATAATGGTGTGATATCATAAGGATGCTTTTATGTTTGGAACCAATCTTTCGATAAGTGTGCTGTCATGTAATATTATATTATTTTCAGGATTTATAAATATATATTATATATATTTTTTACTGTTACCTTCCACATTCCATATAACTTCAAAATGTGGATTAACATTGTAATTTATGTACTGACTGTTCTCGTACATTCAAGTTTAATAATTAGGTTCTGGAAGTTCGTGATTGGAGTTCATCAACACATTTTTCTCTGTGATTATTTTTAAGTGTTTGATAGATATAGGTGTTGCTGATTCCAATGTGAGAATCTTCGTTGATATTACTTAGACCGTGTACATAAGAAGTACGTATGTGTGAAAATTTGTGTGAATGTGTGTTAAGTGTGATGTGCAGAATGCTGTCTGTTCTTTTTATTGTTTTGTTGCAATCTTATCCTTTATAAGATTACTCGAAATTTTCTATAAACTTGTGATTTGAAACTGTAAGTCCATAAATTCTAGATTTCATTTTTATTGAAAATACTTTATACCGTGTCATAGCTGAGAAATTGTGGTGTTATATTACATTAGTCATATTAAGCTTTAAAAGTTAAAAATTTCATTTAGAAAATCAGTGCTTTACCATTTACAATTATTGTTAACATTTCCAAAGATTATATCTGTATTATAAAGTAAACTGTTCTTAGGCTTTGTGTGTGTTCAAAAGTCTTTATGGTTGTCTTGTTATAGAATTGCGCACACAAACAAAGGAGAACAAGTTTTGTTGCAGGTTGGAATTTTACAAGTTTTTTGCTAACGACAGTTACATCAGTCGTATTTCTTGTTATTGCAAAGTTCTCTTTCAGGAAAGATGATTTTAAAGCCTTTATGTCAAAGGAGCATTTAATAGTTTGTTATTAGCTTTCTCTATATGATTTATTTTGGTTATAGAAGTGTTATTGATATGTTAATGTATTGTTGTAGACCATGTCGTTTCAGATGACTGTCTATATTATTGCATTTATGTGTTCTGAACTATTTTGCTGTAATGGCATAAGATAATAGCGCAAGTTGTTTGTTACATGTTACTTCAGATCATAGTCAATTAGTTCTTTAAACAAGACTTGTCGATACCTCGTTAAACTGAAATACTTTTCAGTGAACCATGACAAAATACTTATTAGTCTGAGATAATATAAATTTCTTATTGAATTACTATGCTTTTTATAATATGCATTTTGCATTATTATTCTGAATAGCATTGAGATTTTTGATAGCTGTATATGTACTTGAAATTACCATTTGGACATCTTATAGAAAATAATACAGGCTATGAGCAATATTTTCATAATGCAAAATTGTAATCCTTCAGATTTATATTTTTCATAATATGAAGATCTATTTTAAAAGTTGTGTTATCAAGGGATAAGATATATAAGTAACCTTTCATAGATTTATGTACTGATTATCAGTGTTGGCAATTGCTAAATTATATTTGACTGTGGTAGAAGAATTACTACTGGTGTCATAGTGTTTGTGTGCTCTGTTAGTGGCACTGTGATCTTCCTTCCCTGTACATTTACAGCTGAAATTGATGTTATTTGTAATTTGAAGTTCAATTGCTCTTGAGGTGATAGACTGTATGCCAAATGAGAATTAAAGAATATGAGTGGAGAAATACTCGGAAACAGGCTGCAACATCATTGACACTGCATCAAATAACTTTCAATGTTAACTATTATTTGTATTATGTGCTGTGTACTGCTACTTGATAACTACATATTTTGCTTATCTAAGATAGTATTTATATCAGTGTACAAAATGCTGATGTGCAAGTAATGTTGTAATTACTTGGATTGAATTTTCACTCCATACTCAATGTTGCGTGTATACAGTGACATAAATTTTCTGTGTTTTGTGAAAATGCATATTGAATCCAAGGATTCTTCAGAAGTCATTTCAAAGGAGTAATAAATTATAATCACCTTCCATTTTAATGTTACATCGTTTTCAAGAAAAGGTTGTAGCTGTTGTGTATTCTGTTTATATGTAATGTATGAATGACTTTGTGTGCTTGTGAATGTCGATATCTCTCTTACTTTTGAAGATGGCAGAGGTGGATCTAGGAAGGTGACTACAATGAGATGATTGCATTTCATTTTTGTCCAGAATAGTGGAGTACAAAATTCATTCCAATTGTAAAAAATAGATTCTGTGAATAGTGTATTAATGTTATTAAATGTTATAAGTTCAAGAAAATGTGTGATGCATGAAATTGTGCCTTTCTGGATCCTCCTGTTCAAAGAATATGTGAAGTTCCAGAAAACAACTGTGTTTAAGGCTGCATTTTGGACATTCATATTTAATACAATAAATAAGGGGTTGAATGGTTTCATATATAAGTGTTCTATGTGTTTCAAGTGAACGGATAGTGTTATTCCAGAAAAGTGTTTCTTATCAACGTATATCTGCCAAATTTTTATTAGTATGTAATATAGTTATTTATTTGTTGTTTAATTAAGTGTAATGGTCTGATATGAATCCTAAAGTTTACCTCAGTCAGCCATGCAGTGAATTGTCAGATCCCGATGTGCATATTATATGTTTGTACATAATTGTTTGAATGTGCACTTCTGTGTGTTTCTATATATGTGCAATGCACATGGCATAAATGATCTGTTGTGGATGTAGGAAAATGGTTTCAATAAAAATTATGTGTTTAACAAGTGAATAAGTGACATAAACAAGCCAATGTCCTCTTTCTTTTCAACTTTCCAATATACTTTAATGATGAGTAGAGCCCGGAAGTTCAGGCTTTTATTTTACCTAAAATAAGTAGGCTAAAAGACATTTTTTAAAATTAAAATAGGCGAGAAAAAAGGCATTTATTCTAGTTAAAGTAGGGTGCAAAATAAGCAGATGGACAGTAAAAAATCACATTTAAAAGGAGTTTTGGTAACAAATAACAAATTAAAAGTATTCACACTTTTATTCTAATTCAAAAATTCACATTAGCATTTAACATGTAAGGAAATTATTTTAACATAGTAGTTTCAATATACCACATATATGGAATGATGGCTAAGAATTTGTTTTATTTGTGATAATGCCTCTTCAAATTAATATTGTGGACTCCCTTTTGAATCTTGAAGTGACATCATTGAAAATTGAATTATTATGTTCAATTTTCTCACTTGTGTAATCACCAGCACTGAAAACGACATATCATTCACAGAGAGTTGTCCTCAGAAGGGATCGGAGGCCATACTCAAAGTGATGAGATTCCTCTTGAGCAAAGAAAGCTTGTTGGCATCAATGCAAAAAATAAGTAAATCTTGACTAGTATTTTCTTCCTTTTCATATATATTTTTAATACCTCTGCTTCCAAAGAAAGACAAAATATGACCATGCCTTCCTGTTGTCCAGACTTGCAGGTATATATCCAGCTTGAAATAGTCAGGAGAAAATAGCATGATGAAAAAGGCAAAAATAGACATCAGTAGCTGAAAATGCAAAATGAAAATCTATTAAAACCACTCCAGAACCACAATTAAGTGATTCCTATTGTCAAATGTCATGAAATAGAAACAAGAGAAAAAGGCAATTTACCAAACTTCCAGGCTCTAATCATGAGTGTATACTATTTCATAACCAGAGCAGTTAGATGTCTCAGCAGAGGTAAAAGCCAGAAGGACTATGGTCTCATATTAGTTCACAACTTAAAATATATATTATTATTATTATTATTATTATTATTATTATTATTATTATTATTATTATTATTGCCTTGTTACTAAGCTTTCCGTACCTGTTGCAGAAAAGTGTGAATTGTGTAAAAAGTGTAAATTATATTTCAAAACATTAAAATTAGAATTCATTAGAAGAAAAATATGAGATATACATTAAAGTAGAAAAACGAGAGAATATTTCCTAATAAAAGCTATTCTGGGTTTCACTTGTTTAAAAGACGTTAAATAGATGACCAGAATACTTGTAAATATTTTTTTCAGGATTAGTAACGTCCTTGTGGAAACATGAAAATTAATGACTTTTTTTTGGTCCACAAGTAGAAAATAATGTATTTTGAAAAGTTTTATGATGAATTGCTCAAATAGAGAGTGGTCTATCTATCATCTCTATGTTATAAAACAATGTGAGCTTTCATGGTCGAAGTCATTGTGATATTGCACTGGTTTGTTAGGTCGGGCCCAGTTGACTTAACAGTTCTACCACATGTTTCGTCTGCACCTGTGGCAGATATCACCAGCTATAATGGGCTACAGTCACAGACCCCTCCTGGTCTGCTCCTGGCTCGCTAATTAATAACTAATATAGAAGTTGAAGATGAGTGTGACAGGTGCTGATGAAACATCTGGTAGAACTGTTAATTCAACAGGACCACAGCATATCAGCTCAATAATCAGAATCTATAAATTGTACTATGTAAATTAACAATTAACAGTTCTTTCAGTTAAAAGGGTCAATCCTAAAGAAATGCATCCTATTTTGTTTCTTAAGTATGTATAATAATATGCAGATTTACTTTGGTGCAGTTTCTCATTTTTCCTTTTATAGTTCACTTCAGTAACTTTGTATTTCAACAAATGGTAGAAGTTTTGCCACCAGAAGTTTTCGGCGTCACCCATAAAACGTGGATTCGGACTACATAAGATTAGAGAAAGTAATCAAGTCAATAAAGATTTATCTGTATTAGCAGAAGTCTATGTGATATTTGAATTTTCAGCTTTTATATACTTTTTCAATTTACTTATTCGATTATTAAAATCAATCTCATGTCAAATCAATTGTCTGTCTGTCCATCTGTTTGGGCCGATTTAACTAAACAACTACTTAATATATCGATGTGAAATTTATTACATTATAGGCACTGTTCATGGGACCAACCTGATATTTGTTTTGCTGTGGTATCCCCAACGTTTCTGTAGAAATTTTTTTTTCTCTCTCCCTCCCCCCACATTGCTCATCTTCATATTCACGTAAAAGGAATACATACAGTGGCTCTCAAAATTGACTGTACGCTATGTAAGAAAATACAGAATTGTATAGAAAAATTATTTATTGCAGAATTGTACAAAATAAATATAGGTGTTAATGCAAACCTTCTTCACTCATACATTAAAAATTTTCGTGAAATAACTGAATAAATAAAACTTATACGAATGCATATGCAAGTCACTACAAAAATGAGCGTACTCTGGCAATTTGACTTCGAAGAAAAGGAAAAATAAGTCGAAATTTTGTGGAAAGAACTTTAGCCAAAATAACAACCTCCGGCCTTGCTGGCACTGATCTTACAAGCTTTCTTGTAAATTCAGGCGGGATTTTCTTCCATTCTTTAGAGCGGACCCTCATGAGCTCTTTTTTTATTTAAAACTATGGTTCTGAACATATTTTTCCAATTTCTACCAAAAGTACACAATAGGATTGAGGTCGGGTGATTGTGGCAGCGTCTTAAGGCACTTTGGTAAATTATATAACAACCATAACTTCACAATACGCGCACTGTACACAATACACGCGCTGTACGGTTGAAGACGTTATCCTGCTGAAAGTACGAGTAATATGTCAGCCCTAGTGCAAGATTAAATGCACTTGTCATTACTTTCTAAAATTAATAAATATCCGAATTTGTCAACTGTGGAATCAATAAAACGGAGTTTCGACACCGGATGCAGACATACAGCCCCGAACTATTACGCAGCCCTTGCTGTGCCATTGCACACAAATGTTTCGTACCTTCTGATGCTGCGTTTTCCTTCCTCCACACGCACTGTCACCCATCTGATACAAATGTCTTGAATTTACTATCATTTGCTGAAAGTCACTGTTTACCAGTACTCCGAAGGGTGGTTTCTGTAATATTTCGTGAACTGCAGTGTATTTTGCAGATTTGCCTTACTAATCCAAGGCTTCTTCCCTACTCTTCCGTTGTACCCTTCGACTCGTACCTTTCGGACAGCTTCTGAAGATACAGTTCTCCTTGTAAAAAATACCCATGGAGTCACTGAACGACACTTTGACGAGGATTCCTGCTGAGTTATTGACAACAATTCTTTTATCTCGTTCGATAAGTATCGGATTTCGGCCTAAGGCTATTTTATTAATAAATCTACTATCGGTCTACCATACCTTGAATAGTTGAATGAAGCCTTCCCATTGTCATCGCAATACCTCTTAGTGATCTTCCCCTCGTGGCTAAATTCACAATAAGTTTTCGTTTCCCTTCTCGGAGCCATTTTCAATACAATGATGCACTCCGCAAATCTGATCAACTAATCTGTCACAATTTTGTACTCAAGAAAACGTTTCAACGGGTACTTTTCAAAGCGCGCTTGTGTACATATGAAATGATTCTGTGCAAATGTTATTTGTAGATATCACACAATATATTTAATTTTATCCCTAATAAAGCAATTTTCTGCTTTCAAATTGCACTAGCCTTTCAAAGAAACATCAAATATCAAAATTACATATTTTATTTCCAGAAATATTCTTATGAAAAGA